TTTTCCCCCCCCCCCCCCCACTTCCCGTGTGCAGCGCGAGGCCCAATCCACAACCGAGACCTAGGTCGGTCTTCGGTTCCTAGACTAGGGGTCTAGGACGCAGCATGGCCGTTGTTGCGATGGATCTACCCGGCCATTTGCACTATGTCGCTTTGGAGGAAATGCTGCTCTTGCGCACATTGGAAAACCTCTTGGGGTCGGACAGCTCACCGGCAGCGTTTCTAACCATGTGCACGCGCAATGAGCTGATCTGTGTGGCGCAGAAAATGCTCCGGGGCCAACAGCGCGAGCAGTTTCTGGTCTATGCCAATCAGCTGGCGCAAGCCATCACGGCGAACACAGTCGTCACGCTACCAGAGCCGGTCTCTGAGCATAGTGCTGGACATAGTCGGGCGGAACGCCTTGCTCGGGATTTTCTTCAGGAAGGGCAAGCTCCCCTCTGGTCTGCAGTGCGCGAAGTAGCCCGGGATCTAGGCTATGCTGCAGATACCAGAATCATCTCGATGGGCTACATCTTTCGACTAGGCCTGTACAATAAGGGCGGGCTGGTTGGCCTCACCAGCGAAACCAAGAAGCATCCCTGTGCCTGTCGACTCATCAACTCCTTGGTCATTGCAACACTGGGCACACATCAATGGACCAGCCTTTACGGTCAACATGAATTGTGGTACCGATGTGCATAAAGACCAAGGTAATGCCACGGAAACCACGCTGCCTAGTCTGCACATTGGTTTATCGCACCATATCGATGGCCAACTTTGGGTAGAGAGTCCGTCTGGCAGTGTGTACATGGAGCATTTCAAAGAAGGTTTTCTGCGTGGCACTGTTTACCCGACAAGTGCTGTTGCTAACCTGTTTCATGGCCAGCAATGCTATCATGCTACCATGCCCTGGTCGGGTGGGGATAGAGTGGTGCTCTTGGCTTACGTTGCTAGGCAGCATGCGAGTGCCATGGCCCAGTACAGGGACGAACTCGAAGCTCTTGGCTTTGTCACGCCAAGGGAACCATGCTCCTAGCCTCGCGCCTGAAGTCCAGTCAGGGCTGCAGGACACTCCTGGGGATGTCTAGGGCGCGTGTCCCACCTCACTCTAGAGAGTGCCAATTTCTGATTTCAGGTTTTATGCCTCGAGGTTTATATAAATACACCACTACCCACCCAGCTGAGCAGCATACCGGTGCAACGTCAGAGACATGCGCCTGCGGACATGAGTGTCCTCAGCATCGGCCGATCGGCCGGTGGACAGACCATGCTCGCTAGTCGTGACCGCCTGTGTCTATGCAACTGTACAAAATAAAGACGTGGCGTGCAGTGCAGTTGCCAATGCCCATGTGCTACCCTAGTTCCTTCTTTAAGCCCTGATCCACCCACCCCTCCAAAGGTCCTATCATGGCTTCGGCGGCGCCCTCTTCAGCGGACCCAGAAGCTGCGGCTGCAGATTCCGTGCCTGCAGCTGAGTTGGCGAGGACCAGAGTTAACTACTGGACGGATCGACGAGCCTTGGCGGCAAACCAGGATCTGCGGGACTCTGGAACTGGCACCAGCTCCGTGACGGCATTCTCCGCCGCAGCTCCTCTGCCGGCAGCAATTGGTGGCTCGGCGCGCGTAGCGCACCCCCGCAGGCGTCGAAGGCATCGCCAGGGGTCTCGACAGAAGCAGCAAGGAGAGGACGGCCTTTTTGCATGCTCCACACCAGGCTGCAATCGGCGCTATAAGTTTGGTCAGCATAGACACTGCTGTGGATGGTGCAGTGTTGGAGCGCACACCGAGCGATGTGAGAGCGCATGGATGAAAATTCAGCTGCATAATCTGCGTGCGGAAGTTAGTATTTGCACCACTGAGGGCTGCAGGCGGGCGGCTGGGCGCAATCATTTGCACTGCTGTACGTTATGCGTGTGGCACAAGGGCTGCCAGCATACCTCTCACTGCCAGGAAAGGCAGACTCTGGTGTGGGTTCGGGATGGAGCTCTGGATCCGGAGGCTGCTCGTACCAATGCGGTGCATCAAGCAGCTGGCGTCAACGGAGTGGCAATGGCAGGCAGCACCGAAGCTGAACCCGGCATCTCCGAGGCCAACGCTGTTATGGAGATGAGTGATGAGAATAATGGAGGCAACACAATGACGCCAGGTCGTGGACAATTTTTGACCCGAGCCAGTTCCAGCACCGAGTGCCCATTTATCATTGAGGTTTCTTCTGAGGAGGACGGTGATGAAGATGACCTCGAACTGATTCCAGCCAGTGGTGGAGCGACTGCAACTGAAACTGGAAGTATATTTGGGCCGTCCTCCGTTTCGGACCGTGCGAACAATGGCTCCTTTTCCGGCTTGAACACTATGGATTAGAGTGTGTGTGAGCCTTATTAACCGTAGTATGACTTCCCACGGAATTTGCCAATCGTGCAAATGCTGCCAATCAGAGCAGCCGGGTGCCATAGGCACTTGTCCTATCGTCGAGCACTTGGACAAGTGTGACGTCCCCAATGCCAATACTACTACTACTACTACTACTACGACGACGACGACGACGACGACTACCACGACTACTACTACTACTACTACTACCACCACCACCACCGCCACCACCGCCACCACCACCAACGCCCGCAGCTGGAAAGAAGGTAACTCCACCAGTGTTGACGAAACAGTACGTCCGTTGTGGGCTACGCGCCCCGGCTTCACAGCGCAGCTCAGTGTCAGGCAAACAAGTTTGTTGGATATGCGACCAACACTTCAGTTCCCAAGATGAGTTCCAGGATACAGAAAGTGTATGTCAAAGTTGTCGATGCTTTTTCGGCATGCAGCCTAGAAGCAGTGCGATTCGGAAATTGGATATCACTTGGGGCTGGGTTCCGGCATCGAGTTTTCTTGACAAGTTCTCAAGCGGGCTCCATGTTTCACAGCAGTGGTAGGCTGCGTGGACTTGATGCTGCTGCCTCTGTGGACACTGAGGGACCCTATTCAGCAGGATGGGCTCCACTGAGTCTCCTCCCCGTTCATGAGAACTGTTCGTCTCAACCTGAAATGCAGGGGGGAGTTGAAGTCAAGCTGAACTGTGCGCGATGTGATCGACCAGGACTGGCATAAGGTGCAGACAAGTCTTGTAGCCTCGGTGCTTCGTGAGTGCTCGGGGTACAAATGCCAGGGGTACAGCGGCAGGAGGGCATGGGCAAGTCTCAAACGTCTTCAGCACCCAGCCATCGCAGGCTCGGCAAATTACGTGGAGACGGCCTGGTCTTTGCAGCTTTGTTGTGTTTTCGGCAGACCAAGCATCAAGCAACTCAGCTTGCTTCTATTCTCTGGCCTTTAGTGCAGCTTCGAATGTAAACTACATTAAGCCACGGATGGGAGGACCGTCTAGCTGAGCATCTGGCACAGTCTGCTTGACGGCTGGGATGCCTGACGAAGGCACATACCCGAGCAGACTCAGCTCAAGCGAAGATCAACTTCGACACCTTTGACGCCGTGGCCTTCCTGGCTCGGCTGGTGGCAGCTAGGTGCGCTAGGAGCTTCGGACCTGAGCCCGGAAAAGCAGTGCATCTTGGTCTTCCTGCTTTAGAGGGTGTCTTCCTCGAAGCGTGCCTTGTATTGTCACCACTGTTCAACTTCCGAAGCGCTCTAGGCAACGTAATATCCGAGCCTTGGGAGGGGTCTCAAGCCCCTCGCATGCTGATTGCGCTCTGCGGCTGTGCCAGAGATTGCTGGACTGTTTCTCCGGCTTGTTCCGGTGCCAAAGATGCAGTCGCATGCGCGCCTCAAATGTCCTCCACCCTTGCTGGTGTGGATTCGCAAGCTCCGCAGTCTCTCAAAAGTGTATTCTTTGCTCAGCATCGACATGACAAAAACTGTCGGTAAGCTCGCATGCTTGGTCCCAATGTTACAGCGTTTTCAAGACCCAGGTGTTCCTGCTGGTCTGTGTTTAAAGTCGTTTGGGGCTCTTGGCTCGACTCCGCCTACCGCAACTCCAAAAAGCAGGCTTCCGGATGCTGCTAGTCCACAAATTTTCCTCCGTGAAAACTCGAGATTTACGTGGCAACCCGTCGCAGCCTGAGCAATCAAATGCTGAATACAGTAGAGAAGAACGGAATGGAACAAGTGTGTTGACAAAAGAGACAACAAAAAACCATTGGCAGCCTGAGTGTGATGGTTTGTCGCATCCGGGCAGACACGACAGAAGAATCCACACCACAAACTCACCGCTCATGCTCAGACTCAGGCCGTCTCAACGCGAGGCTATGGAAGCATTCCTTACAAGAAAGGCAAGAAGAGCGTTCGTCTGGACACTCCATCTCTCTCGTCATTAAGAATCTGGACCACTTGGGCTTCTCATGCGCTTAACGCTCTGCAAGATTCCACATGCTGTCCGTGATCCAGAAGGACTAGACTAGAGTCGTGCATAGTCGTGCAGTGCCGTCCCGCCGTCCCGTGGGCGACGGCCTCGGACGCCACGGTGGCCTCGCTCTCCGAGAAGCTCTGCGTCGCCTCCCAGGCCAAGTGAAGAAGCGCCACTAACCCTAAACGACTCCCTTTTGCACTGCACCTGCTGATGCTCTTGTGCCGCCAGGAGAACCTGCGCCCCGCTTGCAGCAAGCGAGGGCATCAGTTTGACACAGTGTCCGCACGGCTGGCACAGTCAGCCAGGCATTGCAAGCACGATCGAACATGCACACCAGAGTTGCCCAAATTGCTGTGCCATCAGAAGTTGCACCAGACACGAGGACAGTAGATCTTACGTGATTCCTCTTGCATAGGCACGTTGATAGACACGGTGTAGAGAAAGGTGGGCACAGCGAGCTTGCGTGCACTCTGGTTCGACATCGGCTTTAAGCGAACTTTGGTTTCCGGAAGCATCGGAACAGATGTCCTGTGCCAGGGGGGCAAGTCCTCCATCACAGAAGAATAAGTAAACAAGATTAAATGGCTGGCACTCCCCCGCCGAAGCACCTTCATGGACGAATTGGAGCGGAAGCATTGTCCCACCTGGCTGCGCACTGAGACGACTATGTACAGCATTCAACATTTGGACCAGAGCTGCCTCGGGAGTACACTCTGCCGATGAGATGCTATCGACATCGTTGAGGATGTCTTCCTGCGCATTGCAAAGAGAGTCTTCATGGGCTTTCAGCATGTGAAACTCGAAAATGCACTCGTGGCCGCTATCGAGCTCCATCTTTTCGGCATCTGAAGGTCCCTCAGGGTTCCCTTGAGGAACTGACTGACACAGGACCGAAGTGCCTCTGCACATGGAGAACCACTGTGTTGCTGGTGCATTCTCAATGGTTCTCGACTGCTTTTCATCTTAATCCATGAACCCGTTGATGGACGGCCAGGGGCCATGCTTCTGACATGGACTTGTTACTTGTTACTAGTTCCTGCGATTAAAGCTAACATCACGGCTCACGACGCTCACGATCGGGCACCGAGTGACACCTGTGGTGTCACACTCAATTCACTCTCCTGCCCACTCAAGCGCCGGACGACACCTCGGCACAGACCAGCTACGAGTACTCAGCTGCTTGCCTAGGTGAGCAACGGACAGGCTTCCAAATATGTCCGAGCTGCCAATGCTGTCTGAGGAAGGAAAGCTGGCCTGAGCCACTGCAGAAACGGCCAATGAACTGCATCGGACGCTAGGTCGCGACAACTATTCTGCTGATGGAGTTGCGAACGTGTGCTCGGATCTGCTCGGTACTCGTTGGAAGCAACACCAATTGAAGTCGTTTGGAGCTAAATGAGCCAAGGTGCTGATTCCACTGCTTGCCGCGGAAGCACAACTTGAAAGACTTCAGCCGGCTGGACTCCCTGACATTTGGCGCACCGAGGCAGAACCAAGAAATGCATGCACCTCGCTTGCAGCTCATTGGCTCATGTCATACAAGATTGATGTTGAACACCTTCTTAGTTGCCAGTGTGCAAAGCCCAAAGCCGGAATGCACGCTCCGTCCTTGTGGGGCATGTCCGACTTTTGCTTGGCGTTGACTTGTTCGGATTTGGCCTTGCTTTCCTCACCTTGAAGGACAGTGTCGGCTGAGCTCCACCACGTGACATCAAAAGCTTGCATGACTTGTGCAGCTTCTCTGTTCAAAGTTTAAACCACAAGTGGTTTGTATAGGGCCCGAATTTCCTCATCAGCGAGGCAGGTCCTAGAGCCCCAGTTCCCATTGAACGACCGAGAAGGGACAGCTGCGGCTGCGTCAAGTCCAGCACGAGATCTTGCACTTGGTGTGGAAGTTTGGGGCGCGTCGTGCCGCGATGCTTTGGGAGCGCCTACTCGATGAGAAGACTCTGTCTGATGTAGATGGAGCTGCCCTGAACGAGATGATGTCACTCACGTGGTATTCCGGCCGAAAGCACAGCCAGAGCATCCAACTATATACCCAGCAGCCTGCAGAGTTTGACGTTTGGCTATGTGTTCAACCAGTGCCTGGAGGACATCCAACTTCCGAGCAGCCTGCAGATTTTGACATTTGGCCACGTGTTCAACCAGCGGTTGGAGGGCTTCCAAGCACCCAGCAGCCTGCAAAGTTTGACGTTTGGACTCCATTTCAGCCGAAGCTTGGGGGGTGTCCAATTACCCAGCTGCCAGCAGGGATTGATGTTTGGCGAAACGTCCAACAGCGTTCAACCAAAGCTTGGATGCGCATCATCGGCGAGCTCTCATGGCGATGGCCGAGATGGCTCCAATCACATTGTAACCGGATGTCACGTCTTATTTCGATCCGGTGTTGAACAAATATACTCCATGTGTAGACGCAGTCACTACACATGGTAGTGATCGGCACTGCTGCGTTTGAATGTTGGCGGTGTGGGGTGCACAACTTGCCTCATCATGCCTCTTCCTCCCCCTTGAGGAATCTGCTCAGGCTGAGGTTTCTGGCTTGCTTGGTGCTTGAATTTACCTTTGTTTAGCTTCGCAATGGCATTCATGGGTAACGCCATACCGAATGGCTCGGCAGGAGTGCCGCTTTCATTTTGATGCTGGCTCTGATTGCTGTTGCTTCAGCGTAAATTGCTTTGGAGCGTGGTGTTACGGCTTTTGGTTCTTCGAGCTGCCGGATTATACTCTCCCTCGCCTCCGTTGGTAGCATGATTGCTGCTCATCCCATGCGGCTAGTGCAAACATGCCCTGCGGGTTCACCAGTATTATGTGCATATGGATGCATCTGTCGACTCTATGGTCCGCCCAGAAATGATTTGTATCGCCTGAACTTGCCACCAAGGAGCAGCCAGCGGGGCCCAGCGCAGAAACCGTGGCGGTGACTTTTCTGGCCTCCAGACTGTGGAAACCCAGTTCACAATACTCCGAAAATTAATCTCAGCGAAGATTATGATTACGAAGACCCAAGCCACACTCATTTTGTATGGGTGCATATGCACGTATGGGCCTTCGTATGCATGTATGCATGTATGCATACTGTATGTACAGTAGTACAGGGGCTGTATACATGCATGCACTGTCACACAAGAGCATCTCGCACAGCTGGAAAAACTACTGAATACGAGCACACTTTCTTTCCACGCAGGAGCTGTATATCATCTTTCTGCTTAAAGCTTGATTTTAGAGTTTACCGCTTACAAGGTCAATTAGTTTTGCTACGATTAGTTGATTAGTTCGCACTGCTGATGAACATGGTTGCAGAAAGGCCACATGGCTAAAGCACACAGCCACGTCCACATGTCACTTGGCATGCTTACCCCATAAATCCCCATAGCCTGTCGAGGCATACTTTGCCTGTCGAAACATCTGCAAGATTCTAAGACAGATTGACAGATTGATTGATTCCTAGCACGTGCATGTTTCAAAAGCTTCTTCTGTTTTGATGCTCGTCAAGTTGCCGAGGCAGCCCGCTGCCGCGCCGTCGTGCGCTGACCTCACCACAACAAGCCTCTCACAGTGACACCTCTGCGAAACACGGCAGGAACCTCCTGGCACATCTCGTGGAGTGACCAAGGGCTCTCGAGAAGCAGCATAGGATGCCTGAAGAGGCGCTCGTTACTCGCTTGAGCTCAAGCCGGAGCCTAACACTGCCGAAGCCTTGGATTTCGCCTCCTTCACGGCTCGCTTTTCATTGATGCCGACCTGAAGCAAGAGGCGAGCTGCACCTCGCCGGTTGATGGCCCGAAAGGTTGCTGAGGCCTCGATGCCACTCATCTGGAAGGTGCGTGAGTTGGAGCCTCGCGACGCAACGGGCGCGACCGAAGCGGCCAGTTGTCGGGTCGGTTCAGTGCCGAGGGGCGAAGCTTGATTTGCGACCTCCGATTGAAACCCTCTCCCGGAGTCGCTTCGGGAGTCCTGCACAACAAACACCAGTTTGGGGCACCCCATCACGGCCTGCAGCTCGCACTCTCTAGAGAAAACTGCATTTAACTTTGTCAGTTCGGAAAGAATCGGTCGGTGAGCCGAAAGATGTCCCCCCCTTTGTCACGTCTGCACTCTCTCGTTGAGCCTACAGTGCTTGCTTTCTGGCTCGAAGCCATCAAGTTCACTCATCAGCGTAGATGCAGTTGTCCTTGGTGTGGAAGGCTTTGGCCGGTTCACTGCCTCCTTCACCGAAACAGCTGAGTCCTGGGCCCGGCAAAGCAACTTCGATTGCACACAGGCAGAGACATGCAGAGCCCAGCCCGCCTTCAGATGGCTGAAACTCACGACCTTCGTCTTCGCCTAGAGCTGCTCACAAATATCAGCTGTCTGCCACGTATCTGACCAGTACTTGGGACTCGACCGCAGGCGTGGCTGGCTTCTCGAGTGCGCCTCCACGGCAAGGCGGCATCAGCGCTCAAGACAGCACGTTGAAACATCGGAGATTCCTCCTTCATGTGGCACTGGCGTTGCGGAGCTTCCAACCGGCACAAGGACGTCGCCTGTTCGAACGCCGATTCTCAGGCAAGCAAATTTGCCTGCAGCTATCCCCGTACAACCCTTTCTGACCTGCAGACCATGGGCGGTCAGCCACAGGCATGTGCGGCACCTCCGGCCGCTTCGAAAACGCTGAGCTCTCCTCCGTTCTGAATCATGCGTGCGGTTTGCATGATGTCACCACTATGTGTACACAAGCTGCCCTGCAGTACCAAACTCCATTTGGCAGTTGACACAAATCTCATCCGACAAGGCTTCAAAGCAAGAGGTCCTGTGCCATCATGACCTGCGAGTATGCAGGGCGAAGCCAGCAAGAGTGACATGCTAGAACTGCAACGCCCAAGAGGTCGGTGTCTTGTCTGCGCCTCGTCGTTCATTCGGAAGGTCTTCCAGAGCAAAGGTTGATGATGAACAAACCGCGCCTTGGCTTCTCACGCCGTCAGGCCAGGCCGAAACCGGTCCATGCTTTTTGTAGATCCCGCCAGCGAGGACAGGGACGACGAATGTTCCTCTTAACCGTCAAAGGATTGCCCCCCCAACACATGGGCTTGATGCGGATGCGCGCAGACCTCGTGATGAGATGTGATGAGTTCGCGCCAACATGCTTGCTTTGTTGCATGGAAAGGAGAACGCTGAATGCCATCCCAGGTGTGCTCGATCTCTCTGTTATCCACGACAAACAGAGATATAAAGCACAGGAACGAGATAGGGCAGGGAACCTCAACCCCTTTGGCGTGTAACAGCTCTGTCGCTAGCTCCCCGGCCTTATCCGGCACACAAGTTGCCAGCGAGCGGAAAAAAGATTCGGGCGAAGGGGGTGGTTGCGAAGCTTGTTGAAGGCGCTGCCATGCGCTGCCACCAGGCAGCCTCCCGCCCATGCCACGGGAAACCAGTGAGCCTTTGCATAAGCGGTCGAACACCAGTGGGTTGTTGGTGCCTCGGCCACCTGCCTTCGTGAAGTGTTTGCCTGCCAGGGCATGCGTGAGGCAAGCGAACCTTCTAGTCATCAGGTCGTCTCGGAGCTTGGTCTCTCCTATGCGACCCAGCTGCCCATCCGCAAGGTAGTTAACATCATGACTCGGGCTGTACCCAGTCTCCTGATAAGAGCGGGGCGGGCCAGTGGGAGCCTGGCTAACAGCAAGAAGCGACCCAGTGAACCCTTAAAGCTGAGGGAGAGGAATAAGGCCTTCCTGAACGTTCAGCTCAAAGCGCACTGCGGCGAGGGGTCCCAAAGGATCGGAAAGGGACCACCCAGTCAGTGCAGACCGTTGGAGGGATGCCATATTATTGGAGACAACAGCGTAGACAGAAGCTACACTTGCCTTGTCATAATGATGCCCTGGTGCGTTGGCCACCATAGTCGACGTCCCCTGCGGCCGCGGAACAGGCTCACTTTGTTGGGAAGCCTGTCGCATGCGACGGTTTCTGCATGCACAATCATGCACATGACAGAATCGTGAGCTGCTGCAACAGGAAACTGGCAAAGCAATTAGCATCATGTGTAAACGGAGTCGCCAAACCCGACAATGAACTCTCGACGCTTCTAATGTAGCCACCTCCACATCGCAAACCGCGAAAGGAGAGGAGCATTGTCACTGGGACAGCAAGTGGAAGGACATGGAAGAATGCAGAAGGTGGGAAATCGCTGCACTTGCAACCCTTGGCCTTAACCGGCAGGCGGCTTCCTTGCTCCTCGTGTGAGAGGTGCATGTGCATGAAGAAGTCGCGCTCCTTCATGTCTTGGCTTGAACATGCTGGTGGGCTGGTGGACTTTAGACGGGCTCCTGATGCATGTAGATCCATTCTGACTCCGGGTGGACATCGTTGCCGAAGTGCTTGCAAACTGCTTCCAACGCGACCATACCTGGCCCACGGTGGCCCACTCAAATTCGTTTGTTGCTTCGTTTGAGGATCTGTCAATGCGGCCAGCTTTTGCCCACGCAAACATGAGTGGTCCAACAAGCAGATGCTGCATGCTGTCGGGAGAACACAAGACCCGCTTTCCCGAGCTGGGGCAGGCATGTGATCCGGACGGATGGCATCTATCCGACGCGTGCAGGTTTTCTCAGGCTGCGTTACGGCCTTGATTAATCACTTTAAAAGGGTTGTCGCCTCGATTAATTTCGCGAGCAAGTACCTGCACATGCGTCCTTCCATGAAGAGCGCAACAACCTTGTGGCAAAAGATCAAGCCTTGCCAACTTGCACTCGATAAAGTCTTCATGAATGTAGGACAAACAAGGACTCGCTTCGGTAAGCAGTTTGTTTATGTGATGCGAGTGCTGGAGACATGAGAACAAGCGTACTGACCACAACAGTTTTACTGCCGGGCCAGAGGGGCGCCGTGCCTGCTGATCAGGCACTTAGAAAAGTTGGACCTTGGAAGGCAGATTCAAGTCTTGGAACGTGCGTCTGTAGCAGATTGCTGGGTCCACTGCAAGTCCAACACTCCCAGCACCGCCAAGTGTGCGCGGCAGCGGCAATCGCCAAATACGGGGACTTGGACCGGCTTCCTCGCTTTTGGCAGAAAGGAAGGTTCGACCCAAGCATTGCGGATTCCCAGGCCTTTGCGAAGAAGAAGTGGGGACACTGACACAGACAAACAGATGCAGACACAGACGGCAGGCAAGCTGGCAGACAGACAAAGCCGGGCAGGCAAGCAAAGGAAGAGAGAGAGACAGACAGACAGACAGACAGACAGACAGACAGACAGACAGACAGACCGACCGACCGACCGACCGACCGACCGACAGACAGACAGACAGACAGACAGACCCACACGCAGAGAAAGATCAACCTGCATGTGCTAGCCAAGGCACCAGAAAGTACAAATGTCCACCACCGGCACAGAACCCGCTGGCCGCCGCGTCCAAGGTAAGATTGCCATCAAGGTACCCATCGGACTTCCGGTGAACGTGAAGCCTATCAACAACAAGCATGCGTGTAGCACCATAGACTCTAAGACTCTAGGACAAAGCAACAGAGAGAAATTCCCAGCATGGTGCTCGAAGAACCTTTATAGATGACAGGTACCGGGCGACCTTGCAGAGCCCATTTTCTCCACCCTGCCACGCTCTTGGACCCGAATTTCAGGGTCCGCTCCTCACCCACCAATGCTAAACCTCATCTTGCGCCCAGGGGTGGGGACGAAAGCTCAAGAAGCTCCAGATGCCTTCTGGCCGAGCGTAATACGGTGTCTCGAAGATGCTACCGAACACGATAGCCTGCCTTTAACACCCAGTCCTTTCGGGATGGAGCTCTTGGTGCCGTGGCACGTTGCCTAACTCTTCTCTGCTCGTAACCTCAATCATTTCCTGTATGGACTGTATGGAGTCTAGCCTAGAGCATTCTGCAGAAGTCATCCACTTGGACTTGAGATGATTGGCAGCTCTGCATTCAAGTCACTCTTGTCGCCACAAACAGCGGAAGATATCGCTCACAATTTGCGGTCGAAACACAGCCAGCCCAATGTCCGACCCAGCCCCGTAAGAGCATCAGAAGGGGTCCATGTCGCCTAAAAGGTAGCCCTCCGCGAAATTCCGTGACAAACGTGGACTGATCAGCAAAGATGGGCGTCATGCCCAAGCTGCTGGAGAGGACAGTTCGGATCTAGAACCCCGAAGCTGGGGAATCGATTGCGCGAGTAAGATGTGGAATGCCAATTTCACATGGACATGCAGATCGATCAACCATGACTTAGACACAGCATGATAAGGTGTGAAGTGACTCGGCTTAGGGCTTACACCCCCTTGCTTAGGTGTCTTCGCCTGCACTGCTGCATTCTGTGCAGAAGGGTTTGGCTTCGAGAGTTCTGACAACAGCACCTTGCCTGGTACCGTTTGCCGCCAAGACTGCGAAATGGTGATCTCCGACAGCTCTGACTGCACCTGAAACCGCATCAAACTGAATTTACCCCCGGCGGCACAGTATGGCCAAGCGCGCCTGGCGTCCAGTAGCTTTCCTCTTTCTCAACCAGCGCCTGCCTCAAGACGCCGTCTTGCGACGCACAAGCTCGCCGCAGAAAGGCAAAGACCCCCGTGAACTGCTGTCCATGTCAATGCATCGTGTTTGTGGCTCAGTGGCACAGGCGCAACTCGCCCTGAACGGCCAGCTTTCTCGGCCAGACGAACCTTGGAAAAAAGAAGCCTTAAGTCACTTGAGTCTAAACGGCCTTGGACCCCCATGAAACAAACCGATGCGAGCAAGTAGCAACGCGCCCACGGGAAGTGCCAAGCAGCACGCAGCCGGCCCATGCACTTTGGCCTGGAATCAAAGCTTGCTTAAGGTTCAAGCGCTCAGTCTGGCTCAGTGGATGCGTTGCAGTCATCCGCCAAGCCAGCCTTTGCACCAGGCGTCGGCAGTCAAAGTCACTGCCTGGCTCGTTTGGAACAGATTTCTTCTGAGCGTAAGGACAATTAAGAACCCGGTCCCGGTCCTTCTCAACTCGTGCATGTGGCTGTCCGCTTGCAGCGTCAGCACCCACTCGGAGCTCCTCACAAGAACGAAGCATTCTCCGTGATACACAACAAATCCTGCCCCACATGCGCTGTGGTCGATTTGTATGAAACTTAGCTTGCACATGGGCCAGGAGAAACTTTGGGGAGGAGAGGTTTGGGGTTTAGGTGTACAGGGCTTAAAGTAGGGTTTAGGGCTTAGGGTTTTAACAAGTCAACAAAACTACCAGCAACTGTGCAGAGCTTTGCCACTTGGTACACTTCTCGATTTGTGCGTGTTGCAATTTAAGGTTTCGAGTATGAAACTGCGATGAATGCACTGTCCGAGTCTACAAAATACCACATGATAACATGCTATTTTCAAATCATACGACATGTATCTTTCAACCGACCCTGTCAACAGCTAGAGCGAAATCTCACATCTGAGCATCGTGGAGTTCTAAACGAAGGATGCCCGAAACGACAGAGACGCTGACTTGCACATGGCCAGATACAGGTACAAGAGCACAACACATCTTCAAGCACAAGAGTGAGGCAGAACCCTGTCCCCAGTGCCCCAGCAGTCTGCACGCAGCTACCCGGCAAACAACATCACTTCAAGAATTAGCCAACGGGGAGTGGATCGGCACAATGGAAGATTGCGCAGGCTGTTGGTACGTTGCATTCAATCACAACCACGAACAGTCATCAAAAAGCCGATCCGTCTCCTTCGGGACTAATCCTAAAAGCGCCACAGAGGGAGAAGATGGTCACGCTTGACAGCAGCTTTGGTTCAGGGAAGGCAGGAGTATTCCCCGCAGACTTCAGGATTTAGTCGATGCTCATCGCCGTCAGGTGGTTTACCGCATGTTTATTGATGATCCGTCACGGCGCATTGGAAGTATCCACCAAAATTCCAGCTGCTGTGTCGGAGTTACCGGAAAGCCCGTCATTGACATTCTAACTGGGGAAGAAGTTTCAGACACCTTGCAGCGGCGTGGCGTTATGTACGCCAGGGTTGCTTTGCAAACGGTACTGTTCAGTGATGTACAGGCACGCTACTTGACCCCGCATCCCCTCGTAAATTACCCTAACCAACCCTTCTCATGCTGCAGTATGTGGAAGCTCATGCGAAGGCTGCCAAAGGCCTGCAACGGCTACATTTCAAGCAAACTATTAAGCTTTACTATTGTTAACCTCTCTCTATCCACCTGCCGTTAACCGACGTTTCAGGCACCCAGAAAGCCAGCACCTAATGTTGCACCTTCCCCTCGTTCTAACCTCCATACTCCATACCCAACGTTGTAAGATACGGCGGGCTAAGCAAGTATTGATGGACAGAACGCGAGAGCGGATGCAAGACCTCTTTCACTAGTTCAGGAAGAAGCAGCTGAGCACAAGGGTGAGGGATCAAAAAAAAATAAATCAGGATCAAAAAAAATTAAACCACAAAGATCAAGAAAAAATTAAAAACAGGATCAAAAAAAATAACGCAGCAGGAATGCAACAAAGCTTGGGAAAAATCTAGGGTTTATGGATCAAAAAAACATTAAATCAGGATCAAAAAAAAATTA